GGATACAAGGATGATTCAACATATGCAAGTCAATAAATGTGACCCACAGCCGGGCTTGGTGGCTCAGCCTGTAATCCCATGCCTTTGGGAAGCTGAGGTGAGTGGATTGCCTGAGCCCGCGGGTTCAAGACCCGCCTGGGCAGCGAGACCTCATCTCTAGAATAAATTAAAAAAATCAGCTGGGTGTGGTAGCACATGCCTGTAATTCCAGCTACATGGAAGGCTGAGGCGGAAGGATCGCCGGAGCCCAGCAGGTTGAGGCTGCGGTGGCCGGGAGCGGCCACTGCACTCCAGTCTGGGTGACCGAGTGAGACTCCAACTCAAAAAAAGAAAAAAAAATGTGACCCACCACAGAAACAGAATTGAAAACAAAAATTATGTGATCATTTTAATAGATGCAGAAAAAGCATTTGATAAAACCCAGCATCCCTTCATGATAAAAGCTCTCAGCAAAACAAGCAAAGAAGGAATATTCCTCAAAATAATAAAAGCCAACCAGGTACTACAGTATTTTGGAGGCAGAGGCAGAAAGATTGCTTGAGGTCAAGATTTCTAGATCAGCCTGGGCAACATAGGGAGACCTGGTCTTTACCAAAAAAATTTTAAAATGTAGCTGATGTAGCTGGGTGTGGTGGCACACACCCGCAGTCCCAGCTACCTGGGAGGCTAAGGTGGAAGGATTGCCTGAGCCCAGGAGGTTGGGGTTGTGATGAGCCAGGATCATGCCACTGCACTCCAGCCTGGAGGACAGAGTGGGACCCTGACTCAAATATAATGGTAATAAAAACCACATACAACAAACCCATGGTCAGTGTCATCCTGAATGGAGAAAAGTTGAGCACATTCCCCCTCAGAACTGGAACAAGGAAAGGATGCCCACTGTCACCACTCTTATTCAACATAGTACTGGAAATCCTAGCCAGAACAAACAGACAAGAGAAAGAAACAAATGGCATCCAAATTAGAAAAGAAGAAATCAAACTATCTCTCTACGCCAATGATATGAACTTATCAACCTAGAGCATCCTAACGACTTCTTTAAGAGACTCCTTGGCTTGATAAATGAATTCAGTTAAGTCTCAAGACGCAAAATCAACACACACAAATCAGCAGCATTGCTATACACCAATAGTGGCCAAACTGAGAATCAAATCAAGAATTGGAACTCCATTTACAATAGCAGCTCAAAAGCTAAAATACCTAGGAATGTATTTAACAAAGGGGAATATTTCTCTCTTTTTCGACTGAAAAAATATAATTTATTTAGAAAGCAAATTAGAGAAAATAGAGAAAAGATTCACTACCCCAAGGTAGGAGAGGAGGCCAAAGCTTAAGAAAACATCGTCTGGCCCTGGATGAAATATTTCTACAAGGAAAACTACAAAACACTGATGAAATAAATTGTAGAGGACACAAACAGGTGGAAAAACATCCATTCTTAAGGGTTGGAAGAATCAATATTGTTAAAATGATCATATTACCCAAAGTAATCTACAGATTCAATGCAATCTCTATCAAGTTATCTATATTATTTTTCACAGAATTAGAAAAAACAATCCTAAAATTCATGTGAAACCAAAAAAGAGCCAGAATAGCCAAAGCAATCCTAAGCAAAAAGAACAAAGTTGGGGGCATCACATTACTTTACTTCAAATTATACTACAAGGCTATAGTAACCAAAACAGCATGGCACTGGTACACAGACACATGGACCAGTGGAACAGAATAGTGAATCCAGAAGTAAACCCAAATACCTACTACCAACTGACCTTTGACAAAGCAGACAAAAACTTACACTGGAGAAAGGACACCCCATTCAATAAATGGTGCTGGGAAAATGGGATAGCTACATGCAGAAAAATGAAGCTTGATCCCTATCTCTCCCCATATACAAACATTAACTCAAGATGGATAAAGACTTAAATGTCAGACCTGAAACCATAAATATCCTAGAAGAAAACCTAAGGAAACTCTTCCAGACATTGGCCTAGGCAAATAATTTATGACTAAAACCCGAAAAGCAAAGGCAACTAAAGCAAAAATAAATAAGTGAAACTTTAGCAAAAAGTTTCTGCCCAGGAAATTAAATAATCAGCAGAGCAAATAGGCAACATACTGAATGGCAGAAGATATTCACAGGCTGATGAAAGGCTAATATCCAAAATCTACAAAGGACTCAAACAAATCAGAAAAAAAAAAGCAAATGACCTCATTAAAAAGTGGACAAATGCTATAAACAGACATCTCTCAGAAGAAGACACACAAATGGCCAACACACATATGAAAAACTGTTCAACATCACTAGTAATCAGTTAAATGCAAATTAAAGCCAAAATGAGATAATACCTAACACCAGTCAGAATGGTCATTATTTTAAAAAATCAAAAAGCAATAGATGCTAGTGCAGATATGGTGAAAAGGGAACACTTATACATTATTGGTGGGAGTGCAAGTTAGTACACCCTCTATAGAAATAGATATGGAGATTATGCAAAGAACGAGAAGTAAAATCCACCATTCGATCCAGCAATCCCACTACTAGGGGCAGAGGTCATTAAAAAGAAAGGACACCTGCACTCAGATGTTTCTCACAGCACAATTCACAATTGCAAAGATGTGGAATCAGCCTAAATGCCCACCATCTGATCAGTGGATAATAATACACACATACATACTATGGAATACTATTCAGCCATAAAAAAGAATGAAATCATGTGTTTTGCAGCAACTTGGGTGGAATTGAAGACTGTCATCCTAAGTGAACTAATGCAGGAACAGAAACCCAAACATCCCATGTTCTTTTATAAGTGGGAGCTAAGCTAAGAATCTGCAAAGGCACAGAGAATGGCATAATGGACACCGGAAACTCAGAAGCGGGGGGAACAGAAAGAGGCGGAGGGATGAAAAAATCACCTATCAGGTACAGTGGGCACAGGTGGGGATGGTGGGAATAACTAAAGCCCAGACTTCTTCACCACTATACAATGCCACCATGTAACCAAAAACTATCTGTTCTTCCTAAAGCTATTGAAATAAAAAGAAAAAAGAAATGACACAAAATAAGAAGAGAAAAAGGCATGCGGTGAGGAGGGGTACTTCGAGAGGGGAAAGAGTCATCCCACAGCCTCCTCTCTCTCTTTTACTGTTTAGACACAAGCATATTTTCTCTGTTTGCTCCCTTCCTCTTCTCCTTTTCTCCCTTTATTTATAAATAAATGTTGAGAGCCCGACGATGCCATGCATAGGCTAGAAAAAAGGAAAAAAGATCAATGAAACCAAGTGCTTGCTCTAAGTCATCACCTGCAAAGGGCAGGGATCGTGATCACTAGATGGGCTGCATTTGGGGGCAAGCCTGAGTTGACAGAGCATTCTGTGTCTACACCCGAGAAAGGTTGAGTTTGATCAACCGGCATTGGGTCAACAGCTGCCTGGTTGGCTGAGACTATACTGGGGATAGGGAGCATAGTGAAGTGGGTAGCAGCTGATGATTTAGACCAATAGAGTTACTGGTTCCAAGGAAAATGTTAATTGGATATTTTAGGACTGCTGGGTAGGTGGCCACTGCATCCTTGCTCACATGTATAAGGGTATTGTGGGAGAAATGATGAGATTTTCTCCACTTTTCTTGAATTAGAATCTATTAAGGGGATTAAACAACGGGGGGGGGGCTGTGTACTATCATTGTAATTTTTTTTCAAGGCAAGGTCTCACTCTGTCACCCAGACTAAAGTACAGTGGCACAATCATAGCTCATTGCAGACTCGACCCCCTGGGTTCAAGTGATCCTCCTGTCTCATCCTCCCACTTACAGGCATGAGCCACTGCACCCAGCCTTGTCATCATAATTTGGTAAAAGGCACTCCACCATCAAATGAGGGGTCTTCATCACAAATATTTTAGAACACGCCCCTCTGCTGTGGATGGCCTCGCCAGGGTCTCCAATTGGAACCTTTCCCAAGATGTGTCCCAGCATCTACAGAGTGGTGTGCTGTGTTCCAGCTCCTTCTCCACCCCCTTGGATGCTATCAGGTTTCTTCAAAGCAGGCTCCTCTTATGTCCTTTGATCTTCATACAATCCCTTCTACCCAGATAAGCACTCAGTCATGCTTGGCAAGGGGCTCCATAGCTCATGGGAAGTGAAATAAGAAAGCTTTACCATTATTGCCTTCCCAAGCTGCTACTCAAAGGAGGCTCAAAGATTGAGGTCTAGGTCTCCCAAGAGTCTGTACTTTTCCCTGTATCAGCAGGGGAGTAACTGGTGGGAATAATTTGGAAACAGGAAGAAGACAAGAGCGGTTCTTGGTGTCAAGGAAGAAGAAGAACTAAGAGTTATACTTGGGTGACACCCTGGAGGTCTGAAGGACCAGAAAATGTTTCTAAACCAATCCTGTGCCCAGAACACTTACTTGCCACAGGAGGGGGAGAAAAAGAAGGGATAGGCAGGATGCTTGTTGATGTAGGAGAAATTGTCAACCTGTCAAATGTTCCCTGTCCTCACCACACTCTTTTTTGATATCATGTTAAAAGTTAGCCGAGGATACTGTAAACTAGCCCAGTTGGATGCCAGACCTAGAATTCATGGACAAATGAAAATTAAAAGAACTCATGTAGGTTTGACAATATTTTATTTTGCCTAATAAGAACTTTTTTTTTTTTTGAGTCAGAGTCTCACTCTGTCACCCAGGCTAGAGTGCAGTGGCATGCTCACGGCCACCGCAGCCTCCACCTGCTGGGCTCAGGCAAGCTTTCTGCCTCGGCCTTCCAAGTAGCTGGAACTACAGGTGCACATCACCACTCCTGGCTAATTTTTTGATTTATTGTAGAGGCGAGGTCTCACTATGTTGCCCAGGCTGGTCTCAAACCCCTGGACTCAGGTAATCCTCTCCCCTTGGCCTCCCAAAGTGCTGGGATTACAGCCACTGCACCTGACTTAATAAGAACATTTTAACAAAAACCCACAAAATGCCCTTTCCCCTGGTGGGCAGCGCAGAGGCAGCTGGATGCCCGAAGTTGCCGTAAAAGATGTGAACCTGCAGGAGTTCGTCAGAGCCCTGGCAGCCTTCCTCAAAAAGTCCAGGAAGCTGAAAGTTCCCGAATGGGTGGACACAGCCAAATTGGCCAAGTATAAAGAGCTTGCCCCCTATGATAAGAACCGGTTCTACACATGAGCTGCTTCTGCAGCAGGGTACATGTACCTTCGGGGCAGTGCTGGGGTTGGCTCCGTGACCAAGATCTACGGGGGACGTCAGAGAAATGGCATCATGCCCAGCCCCTTCAGCGGAGGCTCCAAGAGTGAGGCCCGCCGGGTCCTTCAAGCCCTGGAGGGGCTGAAAACGGTGGAAAAGGACCAAGATAGGGGCTGCAAACTGACACCTCAGAGACAGAGAGATCTGGACAGAATCGCCGGACAGGTGGCAGCTGCCAAAAAGAAGCATTAGAACAAACGATGCTGGGTTAATAAATTGCCTCATTCATAAAAACAAAACAAAACAAAAAACTCACAAAACAACACAGTTTTGAATTATCAGGTCATTTTATTAAAAAAATAAAAGTTAAAAAAAAAAAACCAAACCATTTGGAAACCCCAAAGTAGGAAGGACTGTCCCTCACGCAGGAAAATCCTTAAAAAAAAAAAAATGACCTGACTTTAAAATTCAGCTCATGAAGACAGGCTCGGTGGCTCAACCTGTAATCCCGTGCCTTTGGGAGGCTGAGGTGAGTGGATTGCCTGAGCCTGCGGGTTCGAGACCCGCCGGGGCAGGCGAGACCTCATCTCTACGATAAATCAAAAAATCAGCCGGGCGTGGTAGCACATGCCTGTAATTCCAGCTACTTGGAAGGCTGAGGCGGAAGGATCACCGGAGCCCAGCAGGTCGAGGCTGCGGTGGCCGGGAGTGGCCACTGCACTCCAGTCTGGGCGACAGAGTGAGACTCCAACTCAAAAAAAATTAAAAAAAAACAATTCAGCTCATGGTTAGATTTTTCCTCCTTTTGCTTGAACCTGAGAAAACTTATTTCTGGATCTTTATCCAGTCCCAATCCTTGAATTGGGATTTGGCGTCCAGTCTAATCATTCGGTTCTAGCTCCTCCAAAACCCCTCGGTTTCCCATGGTCCTCTCTGCCTCTCTGAGCAATCTGTGTGAAATAGAGGTTCAGATTCACGGTGGCTCCCACAGACCTGCTATTTCCCCTTTCTGGGGGAAAGGTAGGCGGTGCCCCTGCGAGGACCCCTGACTTCCAGAGCAGATGCTCTGTGTTCTCATCCTGCCCTGCTTTGGGGTGCACCATCTGCCACTGTGGGGGGTCTCTGGAATCTTGTTGTTCTATGGCTTGCTCTGGATTTTGTTAGGAAATATAAATACCTGTTATCTTACTCTCCCAGCTATCGCCTGGGCACAGTTTTCTACCTTCTTATCCGTCACCCCCTGGGTATTCAGTCTGTCTTCCATCAGTGCAAAACCAACTTCAAGTTCCCTTGTTTTTTCTTTCTTGAGGCCAGAGAATTCACCAAGGTGAAGACTATAACTCCCTCCATGGCTTGCTGAGCTGTCTCCCAAGAGAGAGTTAAGCAAATCCTTTCCCGCTACTCTTTAGGGAGGTAAATGGTGTCCTTGTGAGATAATTTGGTTTATAAATGGGTTACAATCTCATCCAGCAAGTTTTAAGCCACACCATGTTCTCTGAAAAGGACATCTCTAAGATTCATACAGAGCTTTCCCAGAGCCAGTCCTGGATCCATTTAGGAGGTTAAAACATGTGTTTTCTAGACTCCCACCTCCCATTTGAGATGGCATCATTCTTCACAGCCCTTTCTCAGGTACTCAGAGCCCTCACATTCTGTGTCACACTCCCCTATCAAAACCAACTCTCATCCCTCCCTAGGGAAGAGACCAGATTTTAGAAATGAAAAAAGACCTCCACTTTCTCCCCTCTCCTCACTTCCTTTCTTCCCCCCTTTTCAAGCTGTTGCCCATGGGTTAGTTCGGTGCCCCAAATCAGGCCTGAAACCTGCAGGAATCTATACGTTAGCCCTATTTTAGGATAAGGGTAACTGGCGTCCCTGAGTCTGGGTGGACCTTCTGGGTCCTCACCCTCTCTGCTCTGGCACCTACCACCCTCTGCAGGGAGGAGAATCTCAAGGCTCACATCAGATCTTTACTTAGTGACTGCCCTTGATCTCTTCATGAAATCAGGGAGCTTGTGTGTTTCAACTTCCACCTCCCCGTAAAGAACTACCCTCTATGTGTTTCACTGTCTCCTATCAAGTGTTCTACAGGGTTTTGTTTCTTCTTCCTGAGAAAACAAGCTCTCAGTTTTCCTCTGACAAAAGGCTACAATAAAACCTACAATAACTCATATGAAGATGAAAACAGCATGTATCTCCCCATTTTGTCTGTCCAAGTTATTGTACAAGTGATGAGTCCAAGGATTATAAGTAGTGAGACCTTGAAGGACTTGAATTTGTTCCACTTGCTTGGAATTGGGAGAAGTATTATAGAAAGGGCGACTGAGACAGATGACTTATAGATGAACTTTCTATGGTGTCCCACCATAGAACTCTTTTTTCTTATGAAATAAGTAAAATTGGTTGTCTTGCTCCCCTACCTCACTGCCCTGCCCCCCGCACTTTTGACACTCTTTTCTAAGATTTTGGCAGGTGTTCTGTCTCCTCCACACTTTCAAAACTCTCTCTCCTTTATCTTTTGTGGGGGAAAAGACTAGATAACTCAGAACAGGGTAGAAAATATATACCTTTTTCTTTTAAAACAACTGCAGCTCTTGGAGCCAAAATAAACAAGTTCCAATGGTTACACACCAGGCACCATTGCTTGGGGATAACTCTTGGGAAAGTCAATGGTGAGGAGGGAATCTAAGTCATCAAGCTGGTGATGATAACTCAACCTGAGTCATAACCTGTCTGTTCTGAGAACTACCCCAGTGTCTCAAAGAGAGAGAGCCCAGAAAATAGCCATAGGTTAGTATTCCTTTGGGCTGTTTCATGAGTCTCTTCCTGATACTGCTATTCAAGAATTGTTCTTGAGAGACCTTAAAGAGAACAGCATTTGAAAATGGTTGGCACTTAATTGTCCTTCTCACAAAGGATCCTGAGACAAGTAGCTTGTTTGAGAACATAATAGACTAGCACAAAGAAGATCAGTTTTAGTTCTGCTTTGGCCATTTTTCCTAAAAAGTGAAATAGTCCCCTGAACTTTTTGATCCTCCACTTCCTCTGGACAAAATTGGAATACCGCTACTATGCATAGTCTGGTGAGGATTAAAGGTGTGAAGTGTGTGACATGATTGTAGCACTTCTGACTTGAGTGCTGCCAGCTTACACCTGCATCCTCAGCCTTCTATTCTTTCTCTATTTTCTCCACCAATGCCAACATTGATACCTGCAGATCAGGGATTCTGAACCTCTACTTTGTAGACATTAGTGACTACAAAACCCTCAAAATCGCATGCAAAAGTGTATTTGTGTATGTAAGTAGAATTTTTCTGGGGAGACTATTCATAGGTTTCATCAGATTTCTAACAAGTTTCCAAGACCTAAAAGTTTATAACTGGAATTTGAGAGTTTTGCCTTCAATTTCATTATCAGAAGTTGTGTTTATATAGTGGATCTAAAGTTGTAGAAAATCTAACAGAGTTGTGTGATTGTGGGGTGGAATATTTGAAATTGGATCTATTAGGGAACATCTACGACATGTGCTCACTGGCAAAAGATAATCCGATTGCCTGTGAACCAAGGGTGGGCAAAGCAGCAACTTTGCCAATGTTCTGTTATTCCAGCTAGCTGAGTAGGACCCATCATCTCCCTGATCTTCCATGACCTCATCTATAAGATGAAGGGTTGCACTCCTGGTTTTTCAAAGTTTCTCAACAACTCCGAAATAATATGATTCTCTTAGGAAGCAAGATAAAAACAGATCTAGATCCTCATAGTAAATGAGAAAGAATGGGGGGGGCACTTTGGGGGCAAGGCTTCTAGATTCCAGAGATTTCATCCCAGATCATGATGTAGAGTGAGTCTGCTGCTCAGAAAGTTCCAGGTAGAAATAAACAAGAGGACTGATCCAAGAAACTTGAATGAATCAGACATTGGGCTTCCTCACCTCCGCCTCTATTTCAAGGTCTGGAAACAAACCTTCAGGACCTACTCTTCTGCAGGGTACGCCCCTCCTTCATGCACAATCCTATGCAACACCGGCTAATGAGTGCCCCAGCAGGAAGAAATCCCTGCTTGTGTTTTCAGATTTGCACCATCAGGGCTTAGCTGTGGAGTGTCAGCACTTCCCTGAAAAAGTCTACAGGGCTGCAAAGCACAATAGGATGGGAGACTGGGGGATGGGAGGAAGATGTGCAGGAGCTCCCGCCCTTGGACTTCAGATTCATTCCAGACCAGAGGGAAGAGGAGCAGAAGCCTCTGAGAGATGCACACTACGCTGAGTCCATGGTGTTTTCTAATAGTGATGCTAATATCGTCCTTATCTTATTTCATGATAGATAATTTGGGGGAAATGGGTGGTGTGGTAGCCCTTGGTCATCAAAGCAGCAGCTGGCACTTGTAGGGTAGTCAAGGTAAAACACACTTTCCCATCAGAGCACCTAGTCATCAACTCTGGCTGTGAGTGAGAATCATCTGGAAAACTTTTAAAAAACCAACATTCAAGCTGGGCTCGGTGGCTCAGCCTGTAATCCCGTGCCTTTGGGAGGCTGAGGTGAGTGGATTGCCTGAGCCCGAGGGTTCGAGACCCGCCTGGGCAGCGAGACTTCATCTCTACAATAAATAAAAAAATCAGCCGGGCGTGGTAGCGCACGCCTGTAATTCCGGCTACTTGGAAGGCTGAGGTGGAAGGATCGCCAGAGCCCAGCAGGTCGAGGCTGCGGTGGCCGGGAGTGGCCACCGCACTCCAGTCTGGGCGATCGAGTGAGACTCCAACTTAAAAAAAAAACAAAAAAAAAACCAACATTCAAGCCCCATCCCACGCCAATTACCTCAGAATCTCAGAGGGTGGGCAGGGCATGGGTGTTTTTTCGAGCTCCCCAGATGACCCAAACGTGCAGCATCAGAGCCTCACAGGGACCTTGGAAGGCAAACACTGACTGTTATGTCCACTGTTCAGATGGGACGCTAAGGTTCAGAAAGGTGAAGCCACTCGGCCAAGGTCGTAGGGCAAGTAAAAGACAAGGACCGAGTCTCAGGTGGAACTAAGCAGGTGACACCTGCTTTGTTGCCCAGGATCCAGGCTTCTTGGGAGGCCATGAAGTCTCATTTCACGGACTGAGAAGACATTTCTGCCACTCTTTCTATGGGGCTGGGCTATGGTTCCTCCAAGCCCCAGAATGGGGGTAGGTCATCTCCACATCCAACCTCATCTTCATCTCGCTGGAAAGACACTTCCTTTGGTGAGGAGGAGGGAGGATTTGTGAGGTGAGATGTTTATCCCAGCCAGAAACGGAGCATATTAAAAGCCTATTGGTACCAACAAGATTCATGCCACAGT